CAGCTCTGTACGACGTGGCAATGAGCTATTGGTCTCCATACCCACAGGTTGCGACGTTGCAGGTCAGTGTTGAGGCCTACTATTACGATTGGTCTCGGTTGGAGTATCACATTTCTATTCAATATAAAGACTACATAATAGCTTCCAAATAATTCAACAAATATCTGTATATGTTATTGACTAAGTTTTTACTCCCTAAAAACGTCACTTTAGTGTTGGCTCCTTTAAGATTGTATGTGAAGTGTGAGTCGAGTGTGGTGACGTGTGCTCGGGTCTGGGTGGGTTATGTGACCTCTGTCAAGAAAACTGCTATACTAGTGAGCACTGCAGATCAGCAATCTGGATGGCAATGCGAAGTTTTCACCTTGTCCTTCATGGCCGAATTAGTTCAATTTGAGTGGGCAGAGCTCGTGTCCTGCTCTGGACTGTCCACTATTTCGCAATAATTAATACATTTTTTCTATCATATTTTTTCCTAGTTCTGTATATATGTGATAGGTATGTATCCTTCATTGTATCAGCACTTAACTTCACATTTGTATTTGTTTATCTTTGAAAATACTTGATTAAATAACTAAAAATGATTAAATCACTAAAATGACTACTTCTCACTTCTATGAATGTTTAGATTAAACGTGAATCACTCAGTACCGGTGTGCCATTGTTTTTGTTTTTCTTTTCTTTTATTATATTTAGTTTCATTCCTAACTAAGAAGTCACAGACGAAGTAAAGTTTTAGAATCATTTATTGTCTATTTTTTTTCTGAATTCTACAAAAATAGTTTTTTGTTTCCTAATTTCATCTTATTCCTACTTATACATGTGTGTCTTATGTACACGTTTCAGCTTCAGTGTGAGGACGAATCCGACTCCTACAAGGAACACATGGAGACCAAAGTTCCTGCAGTGACGTTCAGTGAGGTGGTGCAGATCAACACTGCCGTCACTCCTTACAGCTCAACTGACGAACTGAAGTCTCCAAAGCCGCCTAGTCCGCAGCCACGCCAGACTCGCAAGCGCCCTCAGCGGTCGCACCACATGTACCAGAGCTACTTCGACAACATCGTCAAGACGCAGGAGCAGACAAGGAAGATCGTCGTCAAGCTTCAGCAGCAGCAGCAAGAGATCGCTGCCAAAGAAGCTAACCAGACGGCAGTCTTTCTGCCTTCCCAGCCGTCGGTACAGTTGTCTCGCTTGGACAACATCATCATAGAGCAATCTCTTCTAGTTCTCAGAAGCTCAAACAAACACCTCAAGGACGATATTTCGCAACACCCTTTGGGAATCCCTTTGAAGAAACCCAGACGTTCACTTTATACATTCATCAGCGGAAAGCTGCATCGCCGCCCCGATTTCTCCAGCCCCGAAGAAAGAAACTCCACAAGTGTGGCACTAGTCAAAGGCAGTCAACTAAACTCTGCCAACAAGCAATATTCTGATCTTATAGTGGAGGATAATGGATAGTTTAAAGATACATTTTAGCTGTCAAATTATATTCTCAATTGCATTTCCTTTATTGCCTCATAGCTACGTACAAACTCAGCAATATCCCTTAAAATTCTTACTTGACTTGAAGACACTTCCTTATTTCTAGGGCCCATGAATTCGTCTGAAAAAAATCGAAACTCTTGATTTGTACATATTTTTTTCTTCTTTTGACATAATATTCTTCAAAGAAAGAACACTTGTGCTGGATTTTTTAAAAAATAATTCATCATGTGTGCGTGTTTGTGTGTCCATATATTAGGGAATTATGCTTATAGTAAATGTGAAGATTTTATTCCAACTAGCGTTATAAAGTCAAGTATTAAGTATCAAGTAAGAAATATTCTGGTAGTTATTCACTAGATGTTCGTCTACAATCTTGACCTGATAGTTGATTCGAATGGACTCATTTAGTTACAAGACAATCGCAATGAACATTGAAGCATTTCAGCTCTCGTTCCCGTATATGAAAACTATAGTTTTCGGAATTTTACCTCATAAATTACTGACGTTCATTAGGTCCTCACGTCCTAGAATTCAAAGTATTACTAAAGTCGTTTGGATGGGATTACTAACCCAAGATCACTTCAATACGTGTTTTGTGGTTTCTTCTAGACTCATAACAGTAGGTTGAATCACTTAAGGTCTTGAAATGACAAATATATACTTTCTGGTTATGAGCACTCTATAAATAGCCCATACTTCTTGGACCCCTACCGAAAAATTAGAAAGAAACTAAGACTAAGACTGCTTTATTGATCCTTACGGAAATCCGTTATGATTACGCTCAAACACCAAAATGAGATCATTAGATTTTCGAAGACCTTCCTACAAGGAACTGTAAGAGAAGAAAGAATGAGAGTAAGGCAGAAGAAACTTTGGAAAGACATTAACAAGGGTTGAACAGCTCGAACACGGGATAAGTATAAAATGAAATAAAGAAATAAGAAAGAACTGATCGGCAAAGTGTAGGCTTATTTGTGGGGCCAAAATAATCCAACACATTGACGAAGCTAGCAAAATAATGTTTTAAAAGACTGTAATGAGAAAGAAATTTTTGCTGCTTCATTGAAAACTCACAACTCCAGAGATAAATGTTTATGTTTTTTAATTTTTACTAATACTTTTGAAGATCAATTGTATTACATAATAAGAAACATAATTAAAAGAACAATATTAAATATTACATTTAATTATTCACGATTTTCTTGACCCTGACTTCATCCTTTCCCTTTATTTCTTTACTACACTTTCTTCACAAACATTTGTTATTTAATGTGTAACTGCAAACAGTGGTCATTTATTTCACAGAGGAAGGATAGGCATGAAATAATGAATATCTAACAGCCTACCAAATGGAAAGGATAGCTCACAAAATGTTAGTGATAGCCCTTTGAAACGGTAACGATGGCCAATGAAACGGTAACGATGGCCAAGGAAACGGCAACGATGGTCATGGAAATGATAATTTAGTCAGACGATTTTGGCTAATTGATAAGTCATTAACTTGATTACTAAAACAAATCTTCAGCCAAGCTTGACGACTAAAAAATATAAGAGATTTTACGTTTTGTAATAAAGAGCCGTAATCCAAGGCTTCTTGATAAGTTCAGATATATTGATTTATATCTCGATTATCTGTTTAATTAAATAAGGAAATATAATTAAAATAATTCCTAAGTTTTTAGAATGGCTTGTAATTGTTCTCGAATTTAATCCTCGCGTTTTTACCGGAAGTATGCATCCCATTTCAATCTAAGTTCAACTGAGATTTAATTCCTGTGATAAATATTCTAAGGTTATTATTTCAAATGAAAACATATACAATGTTAACATTTACATGCTGAGATCGTGTGGTCGACGTTTTAAAAAAATTGGTAAGAACATTGTTAGTATACTTCCTAACTGGTAATGGTTTTGCCCACAGATATTATTATCTAGACCTCTGCTTGAGTTTCGCAAGGTCTCTATGTTAAATACAATGCATAGTGGGCCCTACCTATTGTTTTATATTATAGTCTAGTTGTTTACAGGATAGTTATGAGAACTACAATCTTCCCAATGCTAATGTCTTTCTTCTGTTTATATTGTTGTTCATGTTTCTTGTAAGTTAGTTGCAGTGTGGTTTTAAGAAGGACCTCCACCCTTTTTTCCCAGGAATTTTAAATATGCCATTTCAAGATTCTTGTTGCATGGTTTACCTTCCATTTACATAACTTTCTGTGCGTCTCTTTGTGTTTCATTGATTTTTGTTTCTTGAGTTGTGTTAATGTATAATACTGTTTTTGGGGTGTTGATATGTATTGACTTAAAATGCAATTATAATAACACTAGTTGTAAACATGAACCTAAACTATGTTCATGATAGCTACTTTCCCATATGATCAAATGATGGTGTCGTTGTTCTTATAACTTCGCCACAAAACAAATTAACCACATCATTGTGGAAATATGTTAGGTTTTCAAAATGCTGCATAACATGATTCAATTTCTGTTGGTGGTGGATGTTCTAACTTATGCCACTTCAAAGTCTAGTGCTGCTGTTCAAGACAGCACTTGGAATTGAAACTTCCATAACAAAGAGGAAGACATAGGAGATGTGATTCCCTCCCGTATTTTGTGGATGTGAACTTAAACTTTAAAGAACTATTATGAACTGTACAATGGAATGAAGAGAACAAAAATCAATGTGTACATGTTTGCAAACCACTTTTGATAATGATTTATAACTGAGTTGCTGTATCATTACTAATAAGAATTTTTTAAAATTTGAACCAAATATCTTTGGCAATAATTATCTTACAGGCTTAATAGCAAAGTCTGATTTTAAGCTTTTGTTTACTAGTTGAAATATGTACGTGTAGACTAATGGACTAGCACTTCAAATCAGATGTTGATTTAATGACTTAAATTAAGTTTTATTTATGTAATTCATGACTGAAACATGAAGTCAGATGTAATCATAATGACTTTATAATTTCCCTCGATACCAACTTGATAAGAAAAACAAAGTAGCCAATGATGTTTATTTTACAGGCTACATATATGAATAATGTATATTATTAATGACAAAGCAATTCTATTGCAAAGTTCACTCAACTTGTTTAAGTTAACTATTATCGCCTTGACTTATTGGCGGAGATTTATATTTCGTAACTCGGTAGAACTTGACCTATATAACTGAGTTTCTTCCAAAATTTTTCCATTGGATAACTAACTTTACACCTGTCACTTATCACTGTTGACAGTTCCGGACTTAAGCTTGATAAAACCTGGAGCTATTTGAGACATGGCGCCCTTTGTAAATCCAAATATTGTTTTTCAATGCCTAATATGATTTTCGGATACTTAAAAGGTTAAATTATGACTTAAACTAATATACATTGAAGAAATATATAGATAGTGAAATAATTCACCGTTACCTTCAAATCATTATTATAATTATTCTTAATATGTATTTAACTTTGGAAGACCCCTAAAAAGAAGGGATCCCAAACTATAGCTTGTGTAGCCTATTCGAGTTATTATAGAAGTGCCTAAGTGAAAAGGTAGGCCTAAGTCCTCGCGTGATTCTAGAAGTGCCTAAGTTAAAAGGTAGGCCTAAGTCCTCGAGTGATTGTAGAAGTGTCTAAGTGAAAAGGTAGGCTTAAGTTTAAGTCCTCGCGTGATTGTAGAAGTGCCTAAGTTAAAAGGTAGGCCTAAGTAAACAGGAAATGAAAAGAAAAGATTTCATTCAAATATTATTGTTCCATAATGTTCATTGCTGTTGTACCCCCTTCATGCTCAAATTTGTTTGTTATTCAATTAATTTGTCAACACGAAAGATGTGTGTTCTGCTTCTTCACATCTGTATATACAACAAATGTGCAGATAGCAATACTTAACGCGTATATCATGTATTGAAGACCAAAGAATTCAATAAGAGACCATAAAACAAAAACATTGTGTTATCTCGAGTCACGTGTTTCTCATTGTGTTGTTACTTGTGTGTCAAGTTGTAGAGTACGTTTTATATGGCGCCTACATGCATGTGTTTAAAAAAAAACAGATTCGAGGTATTTAAAAAAAACAACTCATGAGTTCAGACAGCACCATACATTGCTACGTTCAAAAATAAAGGGAAGACAATACCTGTTGAAAGCTGATTTTTTTTTTTTTCGTCCAAATCGACGGGTTCGAATCCTGTTGAAAACTAAGAGTTTTTATTCCGGAATTTTTAGGGAGCCCCTTAGACTGATTCCCCCCCCCCCCACCCACCCCCGCGCTTGTCGACGCACAGGGCTGCAAGCTCTTTCCTTAGTGTTCGGTAACAAGCAAACTTCCACCGCATCGTCTCAGTGCTTACTGATTTTAGGCCATGTTTTTACTTTCCTCTTCTCGGTCTCCATGTTATAGCAGTCTTCGGGGAATGGGTTTCGATTTGCCTAAGGATCTGTCCCTCGAATCTCACACGACCTTCTGTCAGCACTTCGCTTTGGGGGGCGCGGGGGGGGGGGGGCGCCGAGTTGTGTGAGACATGGTGACCAAACTCTCAGTTGGCTCCCTCCTTTGCTCCCTCCTAGTATCCTTCTCACCCATCGCTTCTGATCCACGTTGTGACGTGTACGGGTGACTTCCGAATCTTGCAACTGAAATCGGTACATGACATTTTTTGACCATAGAAACATTCAGGCTTTCCATCACCTGCCCCATGGACCGTAGGGTCTGGAAGTGGTACGCTCCTTTGCTAAATAATATCTGTTTTACGTTGGATGTTTGTAAACGGCAACATATACATGAAAATAATTGGTTTCATATAGTAATAACACATTTTTTTTGTGAACGTAGCACTTCCCTATATTGTTAATACTTATGTTTAAAGAGCGCTTACACATTTGAAGCGCAAAGAAAAACCTTTGCCGAAGACAGCTACAGAAGACAAGAAAACTTAAATAGACCCTCTAGCGGACAACGGCTTAGTCTGCATTAGAAGTGTGAACAAAATATGAAGGTCGCAACTGCCACTATTAATATTATTATTATTATGTATTTATTTTTTACCTTTCTTCCTTTAAAAATAAAAAGATAAATATATTTTAAAATACTTAAAAAAAAAAAAGCCTATATAAAGCGTACTTGTATCAATTAGTTTGAATCAGTCATGTGATAAATCTGGAACAGATAAAAAAAAAGGAACGACTTGAATTTGAACTCGTAGCTCAAGCCTTCGCGGGCTCCTCAAGCCAATGCTGTAACCACTATACTTGCGAAGAATCTATGAACATGGAAGAATGTATACGGTACTTATCTATCGTTTCTATTTCATGTTTGTGTTCCCTAGGACGGCAGCCTAATATAAAGGAGGCTAATTCAGCTTAGACTACCACTTCAATCAAGTACTATTTCTTTCCCTTCTTTGAGATACCAACCAACTATCTATTAACAGTTAGTTAATTGAGTTTTATTAGTTTTTTTTTTATTGATTCTTGTGTTGTCAGGTAAAAGTACCGTAAAAGAAATAATTGTGCAAAATTTCAGCTTGATCCGAGATTGTGTCGGAGAAATAACGTGTACAAATTGACAGACACAGAGACACACAGACAGTAAGAGTGAGTTGATATTAGCTTTGTTAAAATTTATTGAAAAATGAATAAAGGAAATAGAACAGTCACGCGGTAAATTTAGACCAGTAGGTTTGACTTATTAAGATTATTCTAATCGTGGATCCTTAACTCTAAAATATTAGTCTTTACAACTGGATATATTTAGTTGCGTAGTTCATACCATTATATAGATGGAGGAACTACAGATATGTTTCAACATAGAAAATGTTCGAAAGTGGACGACATAGATCTATGTACCGGTACCTCACGTATACAAAAGAGGCGTGGCGGGGGAGATGAGGTAGGCGTTCTGTAGCAAGATGTGAGTTGAGAAGAAGTGTAAGATCTTGTAAAGCAATTCCTTTACACTACGTCAATCCATGCTTATGTGCTGTGACCTTCCACTTGCCCTGTATCCCTAGCATGTGTTGGTGCATGATCTCGGGACTAAATAATTCGTTGGCAGTCCTGAGAGCTGGCTAAACATTGGGGCTAAACAATGGGGTCTCTGTAAGGGCCATCTGGTTCGACACCAAACTTTCCTCTGATGGCGTCATACCTTGTGTGATGTCGTGTCGACAGTAGCCTAATGTTCTTCTTGCACTAACTCATTTCACAAGTTGTTTTAAATTTACCTGAACACAGGGCACATATTGTTCAAACACATATATTCAGATGTAGTAAAACCTTTTTTTTGGGCCCTTAAACTAAATGGCCTTGGCTATCTTATTGTTAATGTAACTTTCATTATAAGAATATGGTTCAAGCGGTAAAGAAAAAGTATGTAAAGTTCCTCTTTACGACCTTGCGATCTATAGGGCAGATGAAATAAAGGTCATCTATTTCTGAGGCCGACGGTTAACGAGGATGTCATGTGGCCAGCACAGCGACCAACCGTCTTTACTTTTCCCCAAATTAGTGTCAGGTACCCATTAGAGTTGTGTGGACTCAGATTGGCCCAAAGATCCCGAAATCAAAATTTGTTTCAGAGAGTAGGATATCTCTATAAATTAAAACGACACTGCATTCAGAATCGACTGTGTTTGAGTTTATCTAGAACTGTAGTTAGTAGAAAATCCTTAATGATGTAACGATGACACTATTTAGGCACATTGAGTCACACGATTCTTTGGCTAAGTTTTATCGTTCGACGAATAGTCACTGTGAAAACAAAAAGTTTTTAATTGAATCTTTATAGACACACAAACATGAGCGATGCAAATCAATTGATTTATGATGCTTTATATTGAGGTCAAAGAAAGGGTCGTCCAAACAAAAGCTGGCCCGACAATGGGACAGAATGGACCGGCGTCACTCTTGTTATATCTGCTAAACAATGCCGCTGACGTGAAAGAGTGGAGCAGGAAGTTTACCTGATCTAGTGTAAATTATCCTGTAAAAAAATCCCTGCACGTCGATACTACTTGTTTCATTTTTTGTATTTATGCTTGTTGCCGGCAATCATTAAGTTTTTTTGTTAATATTATAAACCTGTGTTGCTGGTTTTATTATTCACTTGATAAAGGCCTTACTTCCTGATTTGATTATAAATAAAGGAGCTCAAGAAACTGTTATGTATCTAGACCAGGGGTCGGCAACCTGCCGCTCGCGAGCCACATGCGGCTCTTTGGATGTTAAGCTGCGGCTCTTAAGTTCCATACACAAATCTTATTTATTTTCTCGAAAAAAAATTAATCGATTAACTAAAATTAAGAATCGATTCTATCTCTAAGCCACTTGTACTTGTTTTTTAACGCACCCCCTCCCCGTGTTTTCAAATGTAACATATTTGCAGGTGGAAGAACTCAACTTTCTTCTACCTTATCACTTGATATAGATGAGTCTTGCGACATAAAAGACACGGCACAAGTTTGTAGATGTCAGGTAGATGTCTTCCCAAGGATTGCTAGCGCTCTCGTGACAAACTAGGGAGAAAATTTAGCGAATGTCGTGCAAAAATGCTTTGAAGACAATAAGATCGATTTAAATAAACTCGTTTCAATAGCAACTGATGGAGCCAGAAGTAGGACAGGAAAAAATAAAAGAGAATCTACGAGTCTCCATGTATGTCTTACGTTTCACTGCCTACTCCACCAATGAAGTGCTGGTCAATAGCACTCTACCATCATCAGTTTAAAGAATTCTTAAACGAAATGGAGACTCAGTATTCCGATCTTCTTCTTCCCAATAAAGTACGATGGCTTTCTATAGGTATGGTGTTAAAACTTCCATCTTGTGTATTTGAATGAAATAAATACATTCCTAAATGAGGAATCACCCTGAATTAGAGAACGACAAATGGTTGCTAAAATGCTAAGATGAATCTAAAACTACAAGAAAATGAAAACCCAACCGATATTTTGGTAGAAGATAAGAGCGTTGGCTGAGCAGTAAAGAGCTTGGCTTCCAAACCGGGGTCCCAAGTTAGAATCGTGGTGAAGACTGGGATTTTTAATTTCTGGATATTTTTAGCGCTTCTTAATCCACACAGCTTTAATAATTACCTGACATTGGTTGGAGAAAGTAAATGTGGTTGGTCGTTGTGCTGACACCCTCGTTAACCCTGGTTTACAGAAAGAGATGACCTCTACATCATCTGCCCGAAAGATCGCAAGGTCTGAAAGGGGAACTTTACTTAATCAGAGCGATAAATGACTTCATTTTCACTTTCTAAAGCAATATCGCGATAAAACCAGTGCAACTGTTGACAGGAATTATTTCATCACAGTTATTTTTAAGAAATTACAGATGAATTTGCTGAGAGATTTGAGCATTTCAAAACCATCAAAACTATTCAAGCATTCATAGTAAATACCCTCAACACAAATAGTAACGAAATCCATATCCATTTGGAATTGTTACTGGACTTAAAAAAGTAAAGCTTTCTGGAGTGGATAATTTACAGATTTGAAAAGCTAGTTGGAAGAGTTGGAGGTCCAGAAATGTATGCAAGTAACGCAAAAGTGGACAGCTTCAAAGAAATGCCGCGAGATCAAGCACTTATATTCGACGCATGGAATTGTCTTCCAGATTGCTACAGTGAAGTGAAAAGGTTTGCAATTTGCAGTACTAACTATATTCGGATCGACATATTCATGCAAGCACGCGTTTTCTTGCATGAATAGCCAACTAAGAAATGAAAATTTGGATTCGTGTTTGAAACTAAAAAACAAGAAGTGATGAGCCAAATGTAGCCAACCTTTCTAAAACCAAAGCCATCGCTCCCATTGAATTTGTTTGCTCAATAGTTTTGTTATTGAAGTACAAGTTAGGGTTGTATGTAAATGTTTAATTCGTTTACTCTATTTACATTCATAATAAGTAATTATCTAATAATCCCATATATAAATTATCTAATTTGTTGTGAAAAACACT